AGCCCCTTCCTGCGGATGCTTACACTGTATGTAACCTCAGTGCACCCACTGTGGCTCCAGAGTTCTCGGCACAGCAGGTGACAGACAGGAAGGAGAGTCAGCTGGCCTTGCCTGAACAGCGCCACACAAAACCTTTCTATCTGCTGGAAAAGGCGTGGGGTCAGCAGGGAACTGCCCCACTGGACAGGTGAGGAAACCACGGTCCCGAGGGACAGAGGGCTTCCATCAAGCCCACATATTTAATTAGTAGGAGGACCAGGATTTTTGTCTCCTGCTTTTTGGGAGGTGGTGGTAGTACTGGGGATTGAACCCAGGGCCTTTGCACTGAGCTATATTCCCCAGCTCCTTTTATTTTTTATTTTGGGACAGGATCTTGCTAAGTCTCTAAGTTATCCAGGCTGGGCTCCTTCTTGTAATTCTCCTGCCTCAGCCTCCCAGAGTGCTGGGATTACAAGTGTATATCACCATGCCCAGTTTGTCCTTTGCTTTCTGGCCCAGTGGCTTTCTTGTTATACCTATACTTGAGTGTTGCCCCTGAACAGATCACATATGGGGGATTGTTTGAATTCCCATGCCCCACTTGACTAAGGTAGGGAAGTCTGGCTGCTCTTCTGAGCCTGTGCATATCTCCCTTGTTCTGACTCCAGGACAGAAGAGGACCTGCTGTGGGCTGGATGGGTGAATAAACTGTTCCAGCAGTGTGGGTATTAAAATCCCACAAAGAGGAGAAAAAGGACATTATTGGCCCAACTGACAAAATGGAGAGTAGACTGCAGATTGATTAGATAATGGCATTAGTTCAAGTCAGAGTGCCTGATTTCGATAATTGCATTGTGGTTATATTCTTAGGAGACACACAATGATTTAGGAGTCAAAGGCATGGTCTGTAATACAGTCTCCATCTATCTGAATGCAAACATATTAATATATACATAGAGAATGATAAAACAATGGAACAAAATGTAAAGGTGAATTTTAAGTGAAGAGGATACAAAAGTTCCTTGTTCTATCATTGCACATTTCCTATAATTTTGAAATTATATCAAGGTGGTTATTCAGAAGTCCCATTGAGAAGTGTGCAGCAAGCCCCTAGCAGGTCTCTTGTGCCAGGGTCGCACACCAACTGCTGCCCCTCACTCCAGCTCTCGGGGAGCCAGGCCCCCGCCAGCCCCATGGGCCAGCCTTGCCCCTTCCAGCTTGCCCCCACCTGCTCCAGAGCTCGGACAGCACTGTCTGCTTCGTGTGGACTGAGCAGTTGGCCCGAGACTATGGCAAGGCACAGAGGGTGGTGTCAGGGGCACAGAGCAAGGACACTGCTCCACCCTTCTAGCCGGGAGACCCTGGGCAGGCCAACTTCATCTCCAAGGCTCAGTTTCCTTCGTCTGTTAAGATGGGAATGACTAGTACTGAAAGTGGGGTGAGGCTTGGCTGAGGACACGGAGGGAGTGCCAAGGTGGCAGCTGTGCGCAGGAACTTGAAACACCCTGGGTTGTTTACTCAACAACCACCCCAGCATCTGCACAGTCCCTACCTCCAGCTCCTGCCTCCTCTCCCCTGCAATGTTGTCACTGTTCTCCAACCAAACCACACAAACTACACTCCTCTCCTCCTTCACAACCTGCCAGGCTCCCGATCCCAAAGCATCCCAGACCGCCCCAGCTCCCTCCTGTGTGTGTACCCCCGGGTGCCAGCAGGTCACAGAGCTTCCGTCAGTGTGTCTGCTGCGATGGGGTAGAGAGGTCTGGCTTTTCCTTCCTGTTCCTCAGTGCTTGGTCAGTGGGTGCCCAGGTCACAGTGTGGACAAGCACTGTTCTCTCCCACTCTTAAGAGCTGGCTCACAGGGTCAAACAATCTTGCTGGGGACAGGCAGATGCACAGAGTGGGACAAAGCTGTATCTGCCTGGCAGGAGATTCGCCCTTCCCTCAGGAAGATGGATTTTCCCCTGAGGTTAGGTACTGCTTAGCCCGAGGCAAAAGTGAACACACATATACAGGCAGACCACTCACGGGATAGGGCGTGCCTAGCCCTGGAAACATGGCTCAGGCGTATAGACTGCATGATTCCATTTCTAAGGGGGAAAAATCCAGCTAATGTATTTGCATATTTGCATGTATATAAATACACAGAAGTAACAATATATTTGCAGGGTAAGTGCAATTAGGGGTGGAGGAAAGAGGACTTTCACACTGTACTTGATACATTTCTTCACTGTTAGAAATCCTTAAACAAGAATGCATGCACATATTACTCACAGAATTCACCAGCAATAAATTATCCCCAAAACAGAAAAAAATGGGCTGTAGTCCTAAAGTCATCCCATTTATGTCCCACCCGTGCGCAGCCACCTCCTCAGGAAGTTCCAGGAACCAAGCCTCAAGGTGTCTCTCTGGCCCTGGGGTGCAGTCTTTAAAGGACAAGAGGGTGGGAGGGTGCAGGTAAGGGGGACCGCAGCCGTCCTCCCAACAGCCTCAGGGGTAGCAGGAGCAAGGAGGGATGCAAAACGACCTCTCGGGTAGGAGACGCACATTCCCATGCTTTGGGTAAGATGTCAGTCACTCTGTGGAGACTGTCTACGCACAGTGAGTCTCTCCCTGCAGACAAGTAGGGCTGGAGCCAAGCCTGGCATGAATGTGAGTCCAAATACTTCCTGCCAGCCCTGTTCCTCCCCAACTCAGGGTTGCTTCCAACTCACAGGGCATCCTGTTTGCCTCCCTGGTGCACCGGGACACTCTGAGGGCACTGGGGTGAGGGCTGGAGGTAGCTCCACCTTTAGAGGCAGGAGGCCCGCTTCTCCCACTCAAGACTAACAGTGGGGTCCCCGCTCCTCTCTGGGCAGCTGCTTTCCAGCTTGGTCATTTCACACGAAACAAATGCTGAAGCCCAGCTCCCACCTTTGAGGTTCTGATTTGATTGGCTCATGGTGAGCCCTCGTAGTGTGGGTTTCAGAGCTCCAGGTGAGTTTCACATGCAGCCATGGCTGCCAGAGGTGCTCTGGAGCTGGGTGATGACAACTTGATTGGGGTTTTCCACGGCCTCCTGCTCTCCAGGGCAAAGAGCCAGCTCCATGTCTGCTCATTGTCCTGCTCTTGTTTTCCTCCTCTACAGTTGCCTCTGACCCTGCCTCACCTCCCTCAGGATCATGCTGGAATGGGGTTCCAGTGCTGAGGACCCAAGAGGTAACCCAGCATGTCATCCCTGAGCCTCAGTCCCAGGAGCTCTTCTAAGAGCTTTCCCGTTCACATTTTCCCATAACTAACACAGCAGGGCCCAGGTACTACTCTGGGAAAATAAAACTATTAACCCATTCCTTGTAGGTTCTTCTTAGTTTTGTCTCTGTATTTCCAACATCTTATTAAAGGTCCATTCTTTTTTTTGTTTTTTCTCCGGTACTGGGAACCGAACTCACGACCTTGCACTTGCCAAGCAGGCGTTTTTTGCCGCTGAGCTAAATCCCCAGCCCCTTAAACATCCATTCTTAACAGTCAAGGCCGGCTAACGTGACTCCTCTGCTGTCCTCACAGATGTCTAACTCACTTTGGTTAAGTTTCCATAGGACACTCTCACATCCTCCCACACCTTGCCCATTACCCCCAATTTTCTGGGGGGCCAGTGTTCAAAGAATCTAGAATCATTATCAAATACATTGCTTTATGAAGAAAAGAAAGAAGAGAATAAAGCAGTGCCATGACATACAGGCTTGTAATGGGAAAAGAGAGGCCTTGGAAGCAATTAGGCTCAATGACTTTCAGTATGGGTAAAGGAGAGCATGTATTACCTTCTGCTAGCCTTAAAACACAGAGTGTGCAGGGGGTTCCAAGCCACTCTGCAGCCTGTTAAAATTACAGGAGTCAAAGGATGCTTTTGCTAACAAAATTACACAATAATCATAGTCAAAGCCAGGACGACCTTATGACTTTTGAAGGTTTTAGGGACTTCTGCCTTCACGCGCCCCTTCCTCCATTAAAAAAAATTATACATATATTTAAAAGTATACAAAATGTATATGTATTATACTTTAATTTTAAAAATTATACTTTAAAACTGACCTTGTATAAAGATGAATATATTAATACTGTGAATTAAATATATTGTCTTTGAACTACTAATTCATTTTTTCCTCTAATTTTATACAATGGTGCATTTCTATAGGTCTGTAAAAGCGGTGTGGATAAGTAGGCCCCAGGGGAAGCTGAGATCCAAGAGAAGGAAGGAACCTGGTCATGAGAAGGCCCCGTCTCCTTTGATTACTTATGCCACACTGCAATCTGACTTGGGGACACCAGTGAGGGCCTTCCGTGAGGAAGGCACAGCACCTGTCACTCTGAGGGCTCAGGCGAGGCTCATGGGGAGCATGGGGAAGCCAGGCAGTCAGCGGCAGAGGGAGGTGCTCATACTCTGGGAGCAAAAGGGAGGAGGGACTGGAGCAGAGGGAGTTGGCCTCTATCCGGGGGACAGAGGGACCGGGGCAAAGGCCTGTGGGAAGGAGCTTGAGGGGGCTTGTGCGCAGTGAGGAGCTCACCTCTGCTTGAATATAAACAGAAGTAAGGAAGGTGGGAGGCAGGGTTGGGAGAGAGGTGGCAGCCAGCACACATGTGCAAACACATGTACACAGCACAGTGGGAGGGTCCAAGGCACATACAAGCAAGAGGTTCATGTGTGTGGGACTTTCAGGTGCTGGGACCACTGGATAGTTCAGACTGGGGTGACAAGGTCAGAGTTATAGTTGAGAAAGGGTCCCTGGCAAGGTAGTGTCACTGGGCAGCAATTCAGAGTAGCTCCTGGGGAGGTCGGGATGACAAGTAAAAAGATGGGAGTGAGGCTGACGGGGTCTGGACAGGGACAAACAAGATGATGGTGGAAGGGGTCAAGAAAAGGCCACTGCCTTGGTTCCCAGGAGGCACTGGGCATTGCGGGGCATGGGTAGGCTGGGTGCTCAGGAGGCAGGGGCTTGTTGGTGCCAGCCCCTGCCTTGGCTAGGGGAAGCCAGGCCAGTACTTACTCTCTGTTCCCAGCACAGGAGGAAGAGAGCTTTTGGGCCTCCGGGATTTCATCTCCGGGGCCTTGGTGTTCTCACTGGCTGGTGCATCTGGAAAGAAACAGGTGACACAACACCAGTCAGCAGCTGTCCAAGGAGCTGGCATCTCAGTCAGAATCCCACCTCAACCTGGCGATGGCCCACCCAGCCCACACCCCACTCTGAGGGCCTGGTGCCTGCTGAGCAATGTGGCGCCCAAAAATGGCACTGCCTCCCCGGAAGCACCAAAGAAGGAGAGAGCTCCTTAGGCTGATAAATGAGGTAGTGGGAGCAGTTGCCCAGCAGGACGCACGGACAGGGTACTGGGAGCGAGTTAGCCATGGTCCTCCTGCAGCCGGCAGCACCGGCCACCAGAAATAATGCAGCTGGCAGGGCTGGGGCAGTCATACCCCTTTGCTTCAGATCGCCCTGACTTTCCTTTCCTTGGGCCTTGGCCTGGACTTCCAGAGGATGCTCTGTAGGGAGAGGTCTCACACTGAGGAGGGAAGGACCGAGTCCCTGCCCTTGGATGCACGGATGGGAGGAGACCTTGGTCTCTGATTCTGCAGACTGCCTTTGTGCTCAGGCCAGATAAGTCCTTGAGCAGGCAGCTAAGCAAACCTCACCCCGAGACTGAGGTGAGGGCCCACTGCAAGCTCCTGTGACCCCCTCCAGCGCAGGGCTGGTGAAACCCTGCAGCAGTGGTTGGCTGGCAGGCAGCTGTGCTGGGCAGGTGGGCACACAGCTCCTCAGGCCGCTGCTCCATGCACCTCTTCTTTGTTAATGCAAAGCTCGGACGATGCCGAGGAAACCCTCCCGTCAGGCAGCAGGGAAAGTCACTCTGGGCTGGCAGAGTTGAGCACAAAAGGCTTCCATGAGGACTAGAGGAGACTGGAATTTAAGAAGTGGTAGGGAATCTACCCAGGACTTAGATAAGAAGTTACTGGTGGAACAGATCACCACACTCCAGTGTCTTCACTGGCTTCCTTCCCCATAAGGAACACTTATGCGGCAGGCTGGAGGTGCCTTCCCCAGCCCCTGCCTGTCCCCCTTCTCCTGCTGCTGAGAAGATGAAGCTCAGAGGGAGGAGGGGGACTTTCCAGCTGTGGCTCTGGCCACATTCCTGTGGTCTGGCTGAGAAGAAGAGCCATCTCGCTGTCCCTGCCTCCAGGATACTGGGAAGCCAGGCCGGAGGGGCTGGGGACAGACTCTCTCCAGCTTGTGGACTGAGTTCCCAACAGGACACATTTCGCCCTCTAGGTGGCATCCAGGTCCCCTGCCTATTCCACAACAGCACTGCTTCTGAGGCCAAAACCAGCCATGCTTCCCTCCCGGCCTAGTGCCTGCTGCTTTCTTGGGCTGGATGAGCTGGTGACAAGCTCCGGGCAGGCCCTGAGCAGGCTCAATTCGGCAGCAGGTCAGAGGCCTTGGGGCTGTGGCCCTCACCAAAGACGGCCAGGCCCACAGCTGTGCAGCTGCGGGAATGGCTCAGTCTGGGTCTAAAGTAGCACGTTTAGTGCTACATGGTGCGGGTAGGGGTGAAGGACAAAGATGGAAGACATCTGTTTAAGCAGTACTTGATAGCCCAGCCCTTACTTCCTGCCTTCCCTGCTCTCTCTCCCTGTTCTTACCAACTTCCAGGAGAACAAGGGAGCCCAGATCCAGAGCTCACATTGCCAAGCTCTGGGTGGGGGGTGGCACCCCAGGGCATCAGTTTCACATGGACACAATGATGAAGCAGAAAGTGCCCCAGGGCTTTAAAGAAAGGTGTGCCTAGACATTTCTTTCTTTCTTTGCCCCTTTTCCCAGAAAAAGAGTAGAACACAGGGCGTGTACATAGTTCTGCACCCCTTTCTTCAATAATCTCTTACTCCTGATAAATCCCAGAGCGTAGATGAGGCAGAGAAAAGAAGAGCAGGGTTCTTTTCATACTGATGAGGAAACTGGGGCATAAACAAGAAAAGGATGCAAGCCCAGTTTTTCTGGGTTCTTGAAAGAAGGGCAGTGGGGACTGAGATTCCCTCTCTCTTCACGGGTCATACTGGGCTTACTTCCAAGAATCCTGACTGTAGGGACCAAGAGAGCACAGTTTGGTTTTGACTTTGTCATCAGCAGCCTTGAAAACATGGGCAAATCATTTCAACCGCCCAGTGTTTATGCTTCTAATCTGTACAAAGGGAAAGGCTCTGATTTTCTGTAACTCATGAAGGGGAGAATGCAGAGTGCCTTGGAGAGCCAAGAAGGGTCATGTACCTAAATGAACTCACTCCTCCAGCGAATCGTATTCTCTTCCCTCGTCGTGTTGAGTCAGCTTGAATGTTCTCCCCCTCCAGAAAGCCCTTTGACCAGCCCCTCTCCTAGGTTCAGGGATGCTGTGCATTCACTGGATGTGTGAGGCTCTGCCTGGTGGTGCTTTGAGCCTTGCCTTGGGAAGGTGCACAGGTTTCCTTTTCAAACCAGGCACACTGCAGACCTGAAGGCCCACAGGGAACCCCCTCCCTCAAATGCCAGCTCCGGGGGGGAGGGGGACTGTGCACAGGCCATGGGGCTGTGCCAGGGACATGGAGCCACTAGGCCTCCGTGAGAACCACAGCGAGGAATGGGCTGGAAGGACCATGTGCTTAATCAAAAACAGCTCTGTGCTCACACGGCTGCCCAGGGGATAAAAATAATAGTAATAAAAGTTTAAGAGCAGCTTGTATTTTTGGTCTATTTTAATCATTTTGTGATGAAATTGAACTTTGTTTCTAGATCTGGGGCCCAGGGCTGGAGTCCTTTGCTGGCCTGGTTGTGCCCCCGAAGAAGCATGGGGGGGAAGATGGAGGTGTGGGGAAGTGGGGGGCCACTGATGAGAGAGGGAGACTTGACCTTATATGGACAGTGCCTCACCCCTTCCACTCGTGGGCTAGCTGTGGAGTCTGCAAGGCAGCATTTCTTCTTTTGTTTCCCCTAAGAGGTTGATCCCTGGGCTGTGATCCCAGGTGGGAGGAATGAGGTTTTGGGGGGATTTAGGAGAGGGCCTGAGTTTCAGGAGTCCCACTAGGGGGCAAGATGGAGGGCTTGGTTCCAGCCTCTCCCAAGATAGCCCACTCCTCCTTTCTGGGTGCTCTCTTCCCCTGAAGGCGAGCAGTGCGCTAGCATAAGAGACAGCTCCTTTTTGGCTCTGCTATTTAATGGCTGTGTGTCATTGGGTAAGTTCCTGAACTTTTCTGCATCTGATCTCCCTCACTTGGAAAACTGGAATAACAACACCTCAGTAGAAGAATGAAGGAGGAGGGAGTCATAAAATAATATGTGACATTTACTTGGAGCTTATTCCACATAAGCTCTGGGCTATGTGCTTCAGAAGCTCATAACAGGTGAAACTTTACCACTCACCAACATTAAGAACTTTTGACCTGCAAAAGCAGTGGTTCTGTTAGTTCAGCCTAATACCCATAGGGTCTTGTGGTGACTTAAAGGATAAATGTGGAAGTTGAAATGGACTGAGGAACATGGCGGAGCTGACCCCAACAAAGGAAGGGTGAATCAAGGTCAGCTCAGCAGTAATCAGAAGGCCCTGATGGTCTTGGTAACTGTGGACAGCAGTGGGTGGAAGCAGAGGCTTTGGTCTAGATCCCCACTGACCAGCCACCAGAGAGGCTATTGTTACTCTCTGGAAACCCTCTGGTCAAGGTCACCGATGAGCTCCATGTGGCCACATCCAACGGCTTGTACTTAGGTTCATCTTTCCTGGGCAGCAGCATTTGACACACTGATCCTCATTCTTCTTGAGATTTTCAGCGTTTGGCTTCTGGGACTCTTCTCTCTTTTGGATTTCTTCTTCTCCCCCTGTGGCCATTTCTTCGCAGACCCATCTTGCTCCTACCTCTCAATGATGAATTCTGTCTTCCTCACCCCATTTCCATCACAGTCATCCCTAGGGACCTCTTTCAACCCCAGAGCATTCAATGACCACGGCACACGGGTGGCTCCTCGTGCCCTACCTCCAGCTGTGACCTCCTCCTCAGCTTCAGATTTATCCAAATATCTGCCTACTGAGCCCCCTCTGGCATCTTCAACTTCACATGTACAAAACTCTTGACTGTTCCCAGCCCCTGCCTTCTGATTTTAGTGGCTGGTACCACTCTTCGTCTTTACCCCTCCATGGAAACGAAGACTTCAACCAGGTGAAGATGTCAGACACCTTCATCTTCCATATTCAGCTCATTAGAGAATCCTACTAGCTCTACATCAGACTAGAGTGTGAATCCAATCACTCCTGTCTCTTCCAGCAATAATCTGGTGTCAGGTGCCATGGCTCCTACCATCTGGTCTCCCTGCTCTCCCCGACCTTCCCTGAGTCTCATCAGCCAAAGACACCACCATACTCAGAGTAAAATCTGATTTCTCTGTCACAGACCCCGTGGCCTCACAGACCTGGACCCTGGCCCTCTGTAGTTTCATTTCCTTCTGCTTTGCCTCTGGCTTGTGGTCCACCAGCCTGGCCTCCTTTCTCTTCCTGGAACGCATTAAACAGAGTTTCACTGTCACCTCTTTCTTCTTAGTGGTGACCTCTTCTCTTACTTCCCGCAGGTCTCTGTTCAGATGTCCCATCCTCAAGAGGCCTCAGTGAGCACCTTCTCCCTTATCCAGCTGTACTTCTTCACAGTGCGAAGTATTCCCTGAGATGATGACACATCTCTTCTGCCATCCCCCATCCCTTCATGGACTGTCTGGTCTTGAGGACAGGAACATTTTCTGTTTTACTTACTGTTGGTAACACCAGCCCTGAGGGCAGTACTGGGCTGAATGATGAATGATGGCACAGGTGTCCAGTGGAACCTCCTCTCCTACAGACGTGCACCACCCTCCATGGTCATGATGCGCCATTTTTGCTGCCACCAAGACTGGGTGCTTGGGGAAGCCAGGCCTGAGTTGGAAAGGGCAGGACAAGCCAGTGAAGGGCCAGGGTGGCTCCTGACTCCTGCCTGAGGATGCTGGCCTAAAAAGGACTTCTTCACCTCTGGGTGTGATCACAGGCCACAAGTCACTAGTCCCATGTGAAGCAGGACTCCCAGCAGGGAGGGCTGGGAGCAGGGAAATCAGATTCTCCTGGAGAATAGGGCCTGCTAAGTAAATCAATGCACGGGGAATGGCATCAGGTCACAGAAGGACACAAGACACACCTGAGTCCTGCCTGCGTGTAGTGTGCAGTGTCTGTGTGAGATGGGAAGGCTGTGGGCCCTCGCTGAGCCTTTGCTCACTGAGAAAGGTGGTCTGTCCCTGCTGCATAAACTGGAACTGCAAAGTGGCTCGGCAGGCACTAAAGGTCAGCCTACCTCCACTAGGTGAGTTTTCTGGCAGTCTTACCCACACCAGGCTTCTGCTCCCTTCTGGATGTGATAGACTGACACATGCCTTCTGAGTTTAGGAGGAGGGGTAGTATGACAATAATCAAGAAAGTGTACTAGCTGGGCACAGTGGTATGCGTCTATTACCCCAGCTACTTGGAGGCTGAGGCAGATGATGGCAAGTTCTGGGTACCCTGGGCTATTTAGCAAGACTCTGTCTCAAAAAAGTAAATTTAAATAGGGCTGGGGATGTAGCTCAGCGGTAAAGTGCTTATCTAGCATGTGGGAGGTCCTGGATTCGACCCCTAGTACAGGGGGAAAGAAAATAAAAGGTATATAAGCACTCTTTTTCATAGGAAAAAGAGCCAAACACATGATTTTAAAAGCCATATGTGCTACTTTATGGAAGCTACTTCCCTTACTTTACTACACAAGAGAAAAAGCTGGGCATGGTAGTGCTGCCCATAATCCCAGCTTTCTGGGGCAGGAGCACTGCCAAGTTTGAGCCTAGCCTGGGCAACTTAGTGATCTAGCAAGACCCTGTCTCAAAATTAAAAAAGTAAAATATAAAGAAAGGCTTAGGGATGTCCTCAGTGCAAAGACCTGAGGTTCAATCCCTTTTATGAGAGAGAGAAGAAAGAGAGAGAGGGAGACAGTAGTGTGGATAACACAGAACAGCCAGTGAGCCCCACTGAGGTCTTGAAAGGCGTCATTATATTGGTTACAGATGTGGGCTTTATGATGTCAGGCATAGGCTGAGTGAGTGACAGCAGGTGACTT